TCTTTTACTGAGGGGATTAGTCAGTCAGGAGTAGATTTGAGCTGGACTTTCCGCAGACCAGAGACCGGCTCCAAGATGTTTAAGTATTTAATGTCACTTTCTCCCCTGCATCCGAGATAAAACTGTGCAAAAGTATGTTTGCCGGGAAATACTCAGCAATGGTAGAGTAGTAGCGATATAATCGTATTTATTCATCAGAAATTGATCTGAGTAATAAACCTTAGCATTTCCATTGAAACTGTCAGGAGCAAGATATGTTTATTACGGCATATTCTGTCTGCGTGGGGAGGACCGGGCTGCGCTTCAGATAAAGTTTAAATGAAACAGAATAAACACAGTAGATCGCTCCAGCCCAATACAAAAGCTGCAAATGACCGCTACATATTTTATGGTGTGAAGGCTTTTTTATTATTTTTTAAAAATAAATTATTCACACGTTTCTCGGGGTTAAGCCTAGACATATCCAACAGTGCTGTTAATAAGTTACACAAAATTGCCTGATCCTATCAAACGAGTCTAGAGTTATATGTCTTATTGTTAACCCCTTCCACCGAATCTTCTGAAGCTGAAAGGGAAAGGGAAAGGGCTTTTGTCCGAGTTGATCCTTGGCTATTCTGGGGCTCAGGTTGGTGTGAAAAGGACGAGGAGGTCTCTTGAAATCTCCTTTTATCTACTCCTATTTTCTCTCTGGATCAGCAAATTTGAATAGACACCATCTAATCGCTCGTAATGGAAAATGAAAAAAAAAAAAAAAAAAAAAAGAAAACCAAGCCACCCAACAAAAAACAACTGTGTGTGTGCTCTGGGAGCTGCGAAAATGCTTTTGCACTGGGCTGCCTGGCCGAAGGGGTGCGTGCCCTTGAGTGCGCCAGGCGAGGAGCAGCGTGAGCAGCGCTGCAGCCGCAGCCCGCGGTGCGCGCACCCTGCGCTCCGCGGAGACCCCGGCATGCCCTGTCCCTGCTCCCCCGGGCCCCGAGCCGGGGCATGCCCTGCCCGGGCCGGGAGCTCTGGGGTGGGCATGCTGGAGCAAGCAGCGTCTCAGGGGCTCCTTCCCGGTGCCCGGACTGCGAGGAGCTTTTTTGAGGAGTGATGTTCGGAGTTGTAACACGGAGTCCACCCGACACTATTTTCTCTCTCACCCTCAGACTCCTGAATTTTCGTAATTTGCTCTTATTGCGGATACCTGGACTGAGAGACAGTCCGGGCCGCCGGGAGTGGGTGACCCCAAGGAACAGTCGCCCTGTGGCGGGCAACCAACTCCGCACATCAGGCAGGCACCGACGGAGGTGTCCGCAGCTTCCTGGGGATCATCTTGCCAAGGCTGGTGTGTCTGTTTTTTGGTTTTTTTGGATTTTTTTTTTGGGGGGGGGTGGTATTGGTTTTTTTGCTATGCGTTAAGGGGAAAAATAAAAAAAAAGAGGTGGGCAAACTTGGGGGCCTCTGTCAAATAGAAAAAGTTTTGTTCTAGAGGCTCAATCCAGGGCACTGTCTCTTCCTTCCTAGCAGCTCAGAAATTGGCGTTTCTTTCTCAGTCTGGGACACTTTTGCTGAAAATTCCTTCATGTGACCCCGTTGTTGCTAAGGCTACAAGTTCCCATCCCGACACACAAATCTTTTCCACTCCAGGAGCAGCTCAAGTCCTGGGCAGAAGTCATGACTTAAGAGACTTACTTCAAACTCCTTGGAGTGCCCCCCTGCTAAATACCTGCTTAAGTCTAGAGGTTCAAATGAAGTCCTCCCCTCGCCATCGTGTGTCACCCCCCTCTTCTCTCCCGAGGTACGTTTTGCTGGGACTTCTAGTAAATAGATGGCGAGAAGGAAACACAGTCGAATAAGGATTAAATTAAGTAGAAGAAATCCAGGCGATGTATATTTTGAAGATCCGATGGGGCGTCAAACTGATGTTTAACACATTTTTTCCACTCACTGTGCACAAGTCCTCAGCCCCCATCGCCTTGTTTAATTTTTTCGCCCCCGAGGAGGCGGCAGTTGTGGGAGGTGGACAGAAAAAGGCTCCCTCCACCCACAGACCTTTTCTATCCTCAAATGCCATGGGAAGGGGCAAGGAGACACCGTGTCCCCAGGCACGGCTGGGGACACACTCACACACACTCACACACACTCACACTCACACACACACACACTCACACTCACACACAGAGAGGGGCTCGTCCTGCACCGAGGGACCTGTGAGGTGGAGTACTGCGTGGTCATCCAGGCTGTCCCTAAATGCAGAGCTCAGGTGGAAAGTGGTTGTTTTTGGCTTTTTTTTTTTTTTTTTTTTCCCTTAGCAGGATTACCCATCTCCTTCCTCCCCACTGCCCTCGCTGCTCTCTAGGTTGCACCGCTCAGGAAAATACAATTTTATCTCCCCGGCTCAGCAGAGTGGACACGTGTTTGTGCACCACTGAGCCCGCCAGCACCGCTGAGACAGTGGCTCTCCTGGATGCAAAAGGAGAAAAAATCTCAACAAAACTCCCTCAACCTCCCTCCCTCCCTGCCGCCCCCGCCCCCCCAACCCCCAAGAAGCCCCAGAGAGGCTCTTCTCCTGGAAAAGTTAAGCGTGACTTAGCAAACATTTGTAAATGCAAATAGATATGAATAAATAAACCTCAAACCAGGTAGTTTGGGTGTAATAGTTTAGCAGGACTAATTGCAGACAATGAAGCTGAAATGACTTCTCCAATTAGCTGCTGGTTGGAGCTTATTTGGAGGAACTGTCAGCTCTAGCGATGGATAATTGCTTTATTGCTCACAAAACTATCATCTATTTAGAACATATGTGCTAATTACTCTGGATGGGCGTCGGAAAAGAGACCATAAATCTATTAGCCCTTTAAAAAGTCTAAGGTACTTGTGAACGATCAAACTCCCTTCCTTGGAGCTTAAGGGCAAGAGTCTCGTCTGGATGGTACTCTTTCCATAAAATAAAATAAAATAAAATGAAATAAAGTAAAATGAAATTAAATGAAATAAAATAAATTCAGCCATATATACACGTGTATTTTTCAGTGTATATTTGCGACTTCACAGTGGGAGGGAAAATAAGGGGAATCATCCTTCTATAGACCAAACTGGTGCAATAAATCACTGTCATAAAACCGATTTTCCTCTTCAGCTTTGCACTATTTTTCCCCCCAAAAAGATTAGTTTAAAAATCTTTTAATTGGATTACTCCGGAAAATTAATCTCCTTTGGGCTCGCTAAGTTTGTGTACCAAATATCTGGAATTAATTCAGTGCCACAGAACGCATCTGCGATGCCTTTTGTTCAAACTAGCTAAAAAAGGGACAGGTAGGGAAAGTGGCATTTCGCCGTACGCATTCATGCCCCCTCGCAGCTCTCTATGCATATTCATTGCTGTATGTGTCGCATTGTACCGCATAAAATTGCTATTGTAAAGGACATAAACAGAATTGTTTGCTGGACTGTGCTGTGGGTCAAGACACCAGTGAGGGGTGAGGAATTCGGGGGGAAAAAGCGGAGAAAGGAAAAAGCTTTGGCAGCCGCAACAGCAGTCTCCCGGGCGTCGCGCACCGAGGGTCATGCCCGGGTCGAAGCGGTTCCGCCGCCGCCCGCCCCGGCCGCTCCGCGGGCGCGCTCCGCTCCGCGCTGCCCCGAGCACGCCGCCCCCCGCCCCGCTCCTCTCCTCTCCGCTGCCGCGCTGGCCCCGGACCTGCGGCGCTTTCGGGGCCGTCTGAGTGGAACTCCCCATCCCCGGCACCCGCTGAGATTCAATAGGATCCCTCAGTTTTCAGCGCAATTTGAGCGTGAGCAGCACCCTCGTGAGGTGCGGCTAATTGCGGGGGCGGCGGGGGATTAGAGGCGTAATGACTTGTCGGGGCGGTGGTGGTGGCTCTGTAACACAGCGTCTTCTTTCCCCCCGCCTTTTACAAGTACAGGCTGTCTCGCTGCTAACAGAGCAATAAAGCTCTGGGTTCATCTCTATATTTTTACTTGCTTGTTTTCCCGGAAGCAAACGAACCTGTCGCTTATTCCCGGTGGTTTATATGCAGATTGTGACACTTCACAGAGTCTTGGGGACCGAAGGGGCAGGGAAAGGTTCCTTCCCGGGGGAGGAATGTGGGAGGAGAGATGGTGAGCGGGAAAGTTCCTCCTGGGTGGAACAGGAGGCAAGGACCGCTTGTGCGAGCGTCTGTACGTGTGAGCTGAGATTCAGGCTGGGTAGGTGACGGGGCAGCACGGGGTGGGCACGAAGCAGGCTGGAGGATGATGTTGAGGAGTGCGAGGGTGAGGATGAGGGTGAAGGTAGGTTTTGATCTCTTGAGCACTGGTCTAGCTCAGCGCCCTATAGAATAATCTCTCTGCCCAGACCTAAATCCCAGCCATTCTTGCATGCTTGTCGCCCTTCATAAGCTGTGTGTGGCATTTCCAAGTCAGCATTAAATTTCCAGTGTCAGCCGCTGCTGAACTGCGAACCGCGGAGTGGGATTGTCCGTGTTTAATAATACGTGACACAAACACGTGTGGAATCACATGGAGGGAAAACATGCAGAGCAAGGTGAACATCCCATGCTACAGGCTGGGCATATCACACAGGGGTGTATCACACAAGCCCAAGCCCCGAAATCCTGCAGACAGGTGTCACATGTGCTCACATGCAGCCAAATACCTTCCATTGCAACACGCGTGAGATCCTTGCGTGGACGTGCACAAGTAGATCGCTATTTCCAGGCAGACTTTACGCGGTGCAAAATAGCCCAGTGGTCTGCAGCGAATTAATTATTGCACCTTGGATCTCTGCTGACCATGCATCACCCTCGTGTTTCTTCCCACCGTGCACAGGTAGAAGTTTTTCAGCCCTGTGCTGCAGCTAAACAGATGATTACACATTGACAGAATCTTTATCCCTAATCACGTGATGTTAAATGAATCTTAAAGTCCCTTCTGAGACAAATGAAGAATTCTCTCTCTTTTTCTCTCTCTCGTCCCCCTGTCCATCTGCCTGCACTGTGGACGCGCTCTGTGGAAAATGTTTACAGTTTGGAGGACTCTAACCTTGATTTTCCAGCTTTGAGCTCCCTCTGGAAGCGGTAAGAGCAACTACTCCATGTTACTGCACAAATTCCAGCACCATTGTGGGTCGCAGGTGTTGCAGCCGCTATTGTTTGCATCCCTTCTGCAGCCCCGCGGCCAGAGTCCCGAGGTTGCACCGACCTCCGTATGCTGCTCCGCGCACCCTCGGAGCCCGGGGCTGCCCGTGCTGAGCGGGCACGGAGGTGGAGAATTTGGAGGCGAATTTGGTCCTCACCCAGCCCCGCTCCGCGCCGCCCTTCGGCCGCCCGCTGGCCTCTCGCACCAGGGCTCAGCGTGGAGACTCTTACTTTCTCCCACAAGGGGAATAGACAGCTCATGTGTGGACAGGCATCTTTTTCGGTTTAATGTCAGGAGTGCCGAGCGCCCAACGCAAGGCAGGAGGCAAAGACCTCCGAGATAAACTGGGATTGCCCTTTAGCCCTAGGCTGGGAGTGGAGGGACGGCGAAGACAGTCACCGCGCCGAAGGTTCCGAGGCAAAAACTAGGCAGAGACGTCAGGCAAACCCACTCCTAAACAGTAAAATACCTAGAAACCCCGAGCTGTGCACACTTGACCAGAAAGCATCTGGGACGGTCGCTTTTGGTTTAGGGGGTGCAATGATCCTTTGGAGACGATGTAAAGGATGCATTTGTAACCAGCTACAAAAGTGAGGGGTGGGGGCAGGATGCTGCGCTATGCCAGAGCATCCCTGAATAGCATTAAACTGTGTCATGAATCAGTGTCATCATGACGTATGACACACCACAAGGGATCATGATGAGTGACTGGCATAATAGACAGAGATAGTGGACCAAAGTCTCCTTGACAATTCTTAGTCATATGTCTTGGGGGGATAGTTTTACATTCATGATCCGTTTATTTGGAGCCAATACAGGGAGAGAGACACATGAAGCACACGGCTGAATCTGTCTGAGCAGGAGGAAGACGGGCTTAAATGGCACAAAGCGCTGCCGAGGGGAATCTGAAGAGGTCGCAGGTTTAGCAGCAAAACACGTGGGAAGCCCCACCTGCTATTAGGCTATACATAATTAAGCAGGACGCCCCTGGTTTCTCCTGCCAGCCCAGGGAAGGGCTGGCTCACCCAGCGTGTTTCCGTCAATAATCTGCAGAGCCTCTCAGGCACCCCGCCCCGCTATCCCGCGGGCTGATAACCTCCTGTCCCATGGCAAACTGGGGGACGCCGCTCGCGTCCTTTTCCTCACGCTTGAGCTTTGCTGCGGGCTGCGGAACTCCGAGGCTCCAGGGCTAGCAGGGGCAGGTCTGCCGAGCAGGCAGGAAGCACACTTATAATAAACGCTTAATCCGAGAAACGCCCCCAGTGTGCCTCTCACTACGAGCTGGGGAGCCCGAATTGCTGGAGCTGCGGGGTTTGTTTTGTTTGCCAACTTCCCGAGCTACCAGGTAGAAGCGCCTTTACTTTTTTTCCTTTCCCTCTCCTCCAAACTTAAGTCTCCCTTTGGCGGTGTCTCCAGAAGGGCAAGAGGGCCCCAGTGACTCTTTGAAGGCGATCAGCACTCCGAAATCCGCCTGGGCTGGCTGGGAATGCTTGCCATCTCAGCGGAGATCACTGACAGGCTTCTTCCCGGGAGACTAGGTTCGCGAGGCTCCCTTTTCACATAGAGCCTTCAGGAATACCGATAACCTCTAGAAATCTCCATAGGAGGCATTCCAATGAGCAAAATGAATGACATACGCCCAGAAAATAAGTGTACAAGAGTGGAATCCTCTTCAGTCTGAACCACGGCCCCACTCCCCTCCCCCAGAACAAACAGACAAACAAACAAACCCGAAAAACCCCCACAAAAGTGATGGTCCAGACACTAAGAAGTTCACTAAGTGTGTGAGTATCTAATGAAGGGAATAGCGACATTTAAAAAAGAAAACGTCTAATGACTTCTTTTGATTTGGAGGATGAAAAAGCCTTTTTAAATCAGTCCAGATTCACTGGCCTAAACGCAGCCAATTTTTGAATATGAAGGTTGTACTGAGTCTGCCTTCTTTCAGGAGGTCATATGAAAGGTAATAGTATAGGTGAAGTAATGTAGTTACGCTGTAGAAACTTTTGTTTCCCTTTCTTGGCAATTTAATTCGGTGCTTCTTCACTTTCCTAGGAACAGACTGACTCCATCAACGGCGATCTTCCTGTTTAGACGCATGTCTGTTCACAGCATTTAGGTTCCCCAGTTTGCATATTTCTCCCGACATCAGCAGCATCACTGGATCCTTACGTTATCAGCCTTTTCAAAGTAGGGGAAATTCGGAATAAAACATGACTCCTAAGTGTGCAGGGTAGCGAAGCCGATAGAGAAGCGGGCTATCAAATTCCCCTTTTTGCCCTTATAAAGGGAGGAGTGAAAAATTAAAATAAAGAAGCGCTCCTCCTGAGAGCGTCCCGGTGGCCCAGTTTCGGTAGTTTCGCCATTTCACGAGTTTTCCGCTGACTTTTCAGCGTGTTGCCGAAGTCCTGCCCGTCTCCCACCGCCTTCGGAAGGTCGCCCTGAGGGATGGGTGATGCCCCCGGTTCTGTCCCACTTTGGAAAGAGGAGTCACATCCATACGGGGAGAGAAGAACGGCCGGCGAGGGTGCGGGAGCTGGACCGCGCAGGCACTGCCGCCTCGCCACGTGTGGTTTTGTTTTTGTTTTTTGCTTTATGGAGGCGGCGCCCGTGACCGGCAGCAGGTGTCGCTCCCAGCAGCCCCCCTCCCTCGGAGGGGTGGGGGAAAGTGTGCTTTTGGACACCACGAAGTGATTTTTAAGCACCTGCCGATGGTATCGACAAATCCAGGTCCCGTTTCCCTAAAGGGGGATCGCAAAGGGGTGCGAGGATAGAGGGGGAGAGCGGGTCTGATTCTGCCCAGCCTCTCCGCCCTCACAGACGGTGACAACTGAGGACGTGGACAGCGGGCTACTCCTTGCGCCCCTACCCTGCTCCACATGCATCCCATGGAGCTGAAGAAGTGGGAAAGGATCAGGGCACTTGCTGCCTGCCGGGTCCGATCCTGCGAAGCCCGGAGGACCTTCAGCGACCCTCCCCTCCAAAAGTCAGTTTCTCAGCCACTTGCCCATCATGGGTAAAAAGAATAATTTCCACACCCACTCCTGGAAGTCCACGGAGGGGATCAGGGTAGCTAGTGCTCAGCAGGTAGGGCCATCTGCCTAGAGCTTTGCAGCAGCATGAAGAAAAATATAAAACTAAACAGGCAAACAGCTGAAATCTATCCTCTTTAAATAAACTGATTCCTTAGTATTTTCCCAGTATTATTGTAAGTTGTTGTCTGTGATGTCCCCCAGGGCTCTTTCCTCTGCTCTCTGATTTCGTGTATAAAAGCACCTCTGAGTGATGGATTACTGTGTCATTGCAGCTGGTGAAGGATTAATTTGTTTCATTGATTTCTCTTTAGGCAGATTGCCAGAATTCTCTGCTTCCCACCTTTCTCCAGGACTTGAGCAGTAATAGACAGTAACAGCCTAAAACAAATCAGCCCATTCTTGTAAAAATAGAAACACAAAATCCTGAAGTCCCAGGGAAGCTGTAAAGAAGTTTTTTGCTTATGGTGTAGAGCCACTAATTCCTTAAATGAGTCCATCTTCTCTCCTTTCACCACTTCCCTTTTAAAAAAAGTTACCGTGTCTTGGTGGGAGTTGCTTAGTCTCAAGAGCAATTTCAACAAGCAGTTGGATGTGAGCAGTGGGCATTAGATGGTCACAGAGAAATGTTCTGTTCATGCTAAACAGCAGGGGTAGGAATTACAGGAGGATTGCATAAACTTCAAGGTTCATTCTTAAAATCACCAGACCACCTACTTCGAATCAATTTTCTGTCTATCTACCTGTCTGGGATATTAAATAAGCTGTAGTTTATGTCAGGTCCCAAAGTTGCTGGTCTGATGTGTGTAGGGGTGGATGGGACTGAAATCTCCCAGATCAATTCATCTGCATGTTTTCAGGATAATCTGATAAAAAAAATATCAGACCTTGAAGTGTCAACCTGTGGTGAAAAAAGGGAGCTGGGCACTCCTTTTGGTGCAGATTGTGGAACCGTGAGGGGAAGAGAGTGAGATCTGCTGCTGCTACTCTGACCACAGCACTGCTCTTTTCAGACCTGCTTTATCTGCAGCAGAGACAGGTCAGCTGTGCTCTTCTGTTTGTTTCCACAATGCAGCACTAAATACTGTATTGATTTAGTCTCCAAAAGTTTTAAACTTTGGGTGCTTCTAGTGCGTAATACTATCATAGACTACTGTCTTTATACCTTGGGCTTGTGGAAAGCTGTGTCGTGCAAAACCAGCACTTTTAGATATCATGGAGAGCAGATAAATGTTTATTTTACCTTTCTATCTGACTTGTGATGAGTGTAGTTCAATAACTATTTTCAAAGGGACAGTAAATTTATTGTACTGGATAGTACAGATCCACTGCATAGCAAATCTAGGAAATTTTGAAGTTACAGCCCGACTATTTTTTCCCTTCCTCTCTCGGAGGACGTTAGCCTACTACTTTCTTTTTTAATTTTCTGTAATTTCAGGTGAAATCCAAATACCAGTACTAGAGTCACAGCATGATTTCCTTGTCATCCCACAAGAAAATATGCCTTCCCTGCCTGAGTAATGTTCTTGTGTTTTCTTGCATGCGATCCCTCTGTGGTCTGTCAAGTCTAACTTTCCCTTTTCTACCTGGCAGGTTTCAAAGGAACTTTAAAAGTAGTCATAAGGAGTTCGTTCTTGTTTCCGCTTCTGGGAATCCCTTGAAATCCCTATTTTGTCTGGGGAAACCCTGCAGTGTGGGTTAGCCTGCAGAAGGAAAAGGGTGGCTGCCTCCTGGCATGGCAGCCTGGGAAATGCTGTTATCCTGGGGAATGCCGCAAACTTTCCTTCAAAGGCTTCTGTGGTGTAACAGGGACATCCACTTTTCTGGCTTAACACAGGCATTCCCACTGCCTGGCATTCCCACTCCAGATAGCTTTTCGCTGTCAAGTAACTTTGAAAATAAAGGCA